GGGGCCTGCGCTGGGACCCCTCCCACCCCGTCGCCATCCCTCCCTCCCGCACACCGGCCCCCAGAGCACGCAGGGCGTTCGTAAAATAAAAATCAGGAAAATGCTGATTACTCTGGAAAATCCTAATGGGAACGGCCATTCCCGAAGTCCTCCCCCGGGTGAATTGTGCCCGTGAGGGTTTTAGCCTCTCTCAGTGGGGGGGGGCAAAAGGTGGTTTTGAATAGAAAGAAATATGGGTTGTGGGTAACAAATAAAAAACTGCTTTACTTTTCTTTTTTAAGGAAAGTAAAAAGCATGTGCAAGAAAAGGAAATTAGGATCCGTCTGGTGCCAAAGGTTGAACGCGATGATTAGTGTTACAGGCAAGCACGTTTATGTTGACCCAGTATCTCTCACAAGTAATGAAGATAACACTGGGGCCCTGGTGGAGTGAAGGGGTGAAAAAACAGCAGTAATGTTCCTTAAATTTAAGTTTGTTAACATTTTTATGAGTTTATTATGTTGGGGACCAGAGGCCTTGTAGACACAAGAAGAATAGGATGGGCGAGCACCACAAACCTTGCACACTAAGTCAGGACAGGGGGTAGCTGGAGGCAGGACACTTGCTTCCCCTGGGCTCCCCAGGGCAAGTGGCGTGAGTCCAGCAGAGGCCCACAGAGATGGCAACCTGTGCTGACCCTCAAGGTGGCCCTGCTCTGAGCAGGGGCCAGACAGCCTCCAAAGGTCCCTAGGGTTATTCTGTGAGGGACAGCACAAGGACATCATAGGGAGGAGTACTGAGAGCTCTCGGTTTTGCTGAGGATCCCTTAGTGGCATGCCTGGACCTTTTGGTTGGGGAGGATTTGAACCCACCTCCACAAAGAAAAAGGCAAGTGCTCGTGGTGTGCTGCCAGCTGCATCCTCCCTGACCCCTCATCTGCCTCTTTTCAGAAACACGAGTTCTTTGTGGACATGACCTGTGAAGGCTGCTCCAATGCGGTCACCCGTGTCCTGCACAGGCTGGGAGGTGAGTCAGTGCTGGGTGTGTGACAGCCAGCTTGCCGGCGCAACGCCAGCTCCGGGGCAGGATGTCAGTGCCCTGGGATCCTCCGTCTTGCAAGGGTGAAAGCGCTGTGGGTAAAAGCTGAAAGTGGCTGACTGGCAACCTCTGCTTCCCACTCTGCTCTGAGCCTGCTGCTTAGTCAGTAAAGAGTTGCTGATTGTTCGCAGGACTCGTGTGACCCTTGGAGAAATGTCAAGGGAGGGAGGAGCTGCCATGGCTGCAGGTGGCTCTGAATCACCAGGGCCTCATCCTGAACCCTCTGGGAACTGCACTGGTAGACCCCTGCTCAGGCTGCCAGGAGGAAGGGAGGTGGATGCCCTGCCAGGCGTTGTTCCCAAGGAAGCCTGGGGTATCTGTGGTGCTTCCCTAGATGTGTCATCAGCAGTCACAGAGAAGAGCTGCTGAGCAGAGTGTTTGGTGGTTGCCTGCACAGCCTGTTTTTAATACACCTGGAAAATTATAACCTGTGCCTCCTTTGTGCTGGGATTACCAAGAGAGAAGGATCTGACCCACACTCACCGGTTGTGAGGACCTGTCATCCTGATCCCCTGTCCTCACCGAGTGAAAACAGCTTTCAGTCACCAAGGCGAAGGACTTGCAACTTCTCCCAGACCCTGTTACCAGGCTGTGGTGATCCCACTTCCTCTGTGTATGGTTGTCAGCACCTCCATCACTCTTCAACACGCTGGCCAATAGCCTCTGATACATACCTACAGCTTTTGTGAAAATATGTGGCTGGATAGAGACTTCATGCCCAGTTTCTTTCACTGGGCTGAGAGTGGCTCACCCTTATTAGCCACTGGGAAATCCACATGGGAAAGTGTCTTTTCCCTCCCTCCTACTTACAGCTGTTAGCTGGTACTGCCAGTGAGGAAACCTGTCCTGACCCTGTCCTAACCCCTACTCTCACTCCCTCGTTAGTGCCTATCCATGCTAAACCACAGCACAGGCTGAGCTGCTTGGAGATCATAGTAGTTGGTTTAAACTTGGCTCATTCTGGTTATTGCGTGAGCAATTGTGTTGATCCAAAGTGGGGTGAGCAGGTTAAAGCAGTTGAGAAACTGTGGTGCCCGATGCAGATCTATAAGAGATCTGGCTTCCTTCGTAGCATTGCTGGCAGGACACCAGTTTGGTTTTGCTGGCTGGTGGTAGTATCAGGGTTTGCTGGCAGGAGGCACACGTACATTTGACTGATGGCCTTGGAAGCACAAACGTGTGAAGGTGAGCATTCCCCGTGCTCACACCATTTGGCTGCTTCTAGCTGTGCAAAATTTTTTTCCTTTCCTCGTAGGTGTCCAGTTTGATATTGACCTGCCCAACAAGAAGGTGTGCATCGACTCGGAGCACAACGTTGACACCCTGTTGGAAACCCTAAAGAAGACTGGAAAGAACGCTTCCTACCTTGGGGAGAAGTCCGCGCAGTAGCCTTGCCTGGTGTTAGGAGGCTAGGTACATACCAGGTGTATGAAATGCTGAAGAGAGAGATCTGAGCTTGTTCCAGCTCTCCCAGTAAAACAGGCTGCTTCCTGGGAAGCACAAAGTAGGAAAGACCTGCAGGTCCAGCTTCAGCTAACCCCTCATATCGGAGAAGCAGCTTGACCACATACAGCCAGTACCATTTCTGTGTGGGACCCCTTAGCTACTCTGCAAGGCGCATGTGATCCCAACCATGGATGTAGTGGAGAGGTAGAACACAGCCTCTGTGCCATTCCCAGGTGAACCTAGAGTTTGCCAGAGCATACAATGCATGAAAACAAATCCCAAAGACATTCACCAGCTGACTAGAGAGAGTGGTGCCCCCAAAAAATACCAGGGAGGGCAATGGGACACAAAGACCCCTGTGGGTACGTGATGCAGGGAGTTGGTTGTTAGCATAAGGACCTCCAACATCTGATTCTGTTGATATCGCTGTTAATCCTCCACTAAACTCGAGGATGGAAAAAGAACAGCACCATGCTACCCTCATGGACATAAAATGTTGGGTTTCAGAATAGCTCCCAGTGCACACAGCCCCTGGCCAACTGGACAGCTATCCCAAAGACAACCTGGTTGTTGCAGCCTGATTTTCCTGGAGTCCCAGCACTATGAGGACATGTACGAAACTCTTTCCTGACTGTGAAATGTTTTTGCACAGGGTTCAATTTCAGTGGAAAAGAATGAAGTGGGAGGAGAGGGCTTCCCACTCACTGCATGTACTGTTCTTTAGTGTCCAAGATTATTATATTGCATCTCTTAAGAGCTTGTTTCTGTCAGTGGAGCTTTCTAATCCAATGACATTGTTTTAAACTGGTCTAGTTTGATCATCACAAATACCCAGCACAGATGCATTGAAACCAGTTCATGCTGATTTAATTCCCAGTCAGTAAATTAAATCGGGGATTTAAACAAGCAGGTAAACTGACACAAGAAAGAGTTGAGCTGATACTGATGTGTGTGTGCAATAGGTCTGCATTGTTCTAACAGACTGACTTAACGGATTTAAAATCTGCAATTTGTATCATTTGAGCAAGCTCTCAATACTTCTTAGAAATTGTTTAAAATCATAGCTTTAATCAAATAACTTTGCTATTTAAAACAGAGAGAGAAACATGCTCCAAATTGATACTTTGCTATTTAAAACAGAGAGAGAAACAAGCTCCAAATAGTGCTTCATATAGTTTTCAGCTCGTAGTACTGACTACAGGAGCTGTTTTCAACTTGCAGGGACTTGTGGACTATGTCTCAAATGCCTGCAAAAGTTAACCAGTCTCAAATAATGTGGATGTGTCCCTTTTTTCCCTGGCCCTGTGTTCTCACCACTTTCCTTATATTACATCAAGGCAGCCAGGGAGTCAGTTCAGCTGGCCGACCTGGCAGAACATTTCTCTCAATGCTTTTGTTTTCCTATTGGATTTTAGCTGTTTGACTTACCCAAGGATTGTAAGATCCAAAACAAAGGAGAGGCGTGGCTGGACTGTTCTTGCTAGTAGTTTGCTGCTAGATCACTTGAGCTGTCATGGGAAAAAACAGTAAATTTAAGTAGTATTACAGCACATTTCCCTCCATAGGGAATATTTTTAGGGGTTCATTTGTAAAAGGAGGGAGGGAGGGAAGTTGCAAATCACTGGCACAGAGCTCAGGTGGATGGCTTTCCTTCGGCTTGTGACCAGCAGAGGGCATCTTTGTATAACGTTGTCTCCTGTGTGCCTTGGTATTTTTCCCTGTCATTTATGGATTTATTTATTTATTTATTTTGCAGGAACTCAAACATGGCTTCAGCAAAAAAAGGTGGCTTAACTGTTTGCATATCTCTCAACTTGCTCTGTCATTTGGCCTTTACTACCCTGCCAGATGTCGGAAAGCAGAGGGCTGGCAGGAGGAGAGAGCTGCATCTTGGGCTTTAAAAGTGGAGAAATCTAGAGAAGGTTATATGCTGTTTCTAGTCCCACAGTAAATCGAGGCGCTGCTTCTATCTTTCAGTGCATGTCTATGTGTCTTGTGTGTCTTTGTACTGCTTTGAGTGGTTTTCTGTAAAAGAGATGGCTCTTAGGGATGGGAAACTACCCGTTGTGTGCAAGACAGGTCTCCCAGGAAATTGCACCTATCTTTAGAAGTTGACTGCAATCTCTGCCTGAGGGACATGTCTCAGGAGAACTGAGCTTGAGCGTCACTTAGATTCAAGGAATCTGTGTCTTGGCAGATGTCTTTCCATCACAGAACAGACAAACTTTCCATTTGGGATGCAAGTGCTGGGAAGAAGGGATTCTTGCAGCCCCTGTAAGTCAAGGATAACCAAGTGTCCTTTTGAGCTAGATGGGGCCACGAGGCAGAAATCAATGGGCCTCAGCAACTTGATTGAGCTCACGGGCCAACCAAATTGCAAGTAGGAGGAGGGAACACAGACTCAGCCTAGGTTTAGTACAGTGCTTTTTAGGGCACTGCATGACCATATAAATGTGAGGAATCATTCTGGATCCTGGGCCCAGCTCAGGACACCTGGATCAGTCCCTTCCCCTAGCAAGTGCTCCTCTTGCCCCCTTCCCTGCCCACCTACAAAATTTCAACTAAATAGGTAATAGCATCATGGGGCCCTGATGCTGGGCAGGATCCCTGGCTGCTGCATGCACCCACAGGCACAGTAGGAGAATGCCTGCGCTGATGAGAAATACAGAAGGGATGGAGGAAGGAGAGGGGTGTGTGAATCTCTCCAAGGTCTCTCATTTCTCAGCCCAGTGACCAGTGTTACAGGCTATACTGTTGATTTGCTCAGCTCCCATCCATTTAATTCAGGTTTTCAGCCCAGTGAAAAGATTGCATGTGTCCGTCCCAGTCTGCTGTCTCTTGTTTCATTTGGGAGATGTCTCCCATGCCTACTAATCACATGTGACTTGTTCTACAGAGAGGAAAACCAACTAAAGTTTGAAGGAAAAGGTTACTCTATATTTAAGAGATTTTTCATACTTGGACATTGAGATTACTTTTGACATAGTTGCAATTTATTCTTTCCTAGAGAGGTTTAGTACTTCCAAGTCCTTCTTTACCATTGATCTGAACACAATTAATTGCTGTAGATGCACTTGCAGGGACTGGAGACGCTTCAAGGAATATGTTGCAGACACTTTTTATTACTTTTTAGTATAAGGGAAGCTACAGGATAGAAGTCTACCACCATTGCATTATTTTCTTACCTTAAAATCTCCCAGTGGCGGGAAGTTTCCAGAGCCAAGTCCCAGAACCGCAACCTGTTTCTGCTTTGTGCCAGTGCACTCAGATGCACGGCATGACACCTCCGGGGTTCTGGGTGAGCGAATGAATCCCTTTCCCTATCCCCCCCTTGTTGGTCTGAGCTGGTGTTTGCCAATGTTAGTTATTATTTATTGCTTTCAGCTTCCTCCCAGACACAGCCAGTGCATCCACCAGCAGCTGGTTTCCCAGTCGCTCAGCTCTAGTGGCAGTGGGCTGGAGGAGGACATGCGCTGTCAGTTTGACATGGAGCTGGATGGCACGCGGTGGCATAGCTGGCCTCGGGGCCAACAGTCCTTGTGGCGCTTGCTCTCTGCCAAACTGGCAGGCAGGACTGGCAGTGTCGCGCCCACAGAGGATAACTCCCAGTCTGTCTTGCTCTAAACCAGGCTGTTTGTCCTTGATGTCGGAACTGCAGCTTATGCTATGGATAGCTTATGCTATCCACACTCCCCTGGCTGCTCTGCTCCCCTCTCCCTGCTTGCTGAACCATCTGTTTTGGTTAAAGCCTGCTTATCTCTGAGCCAGACAAGGAGGGTCACTCCCACAACCAGCCAGGAGGTTCATGCAGATACCTGAAGTTTCAGCACCCATCTGCAGGGCTGCAGTCTCCCAGGCCTTCCCTCTGCCATTCAGTGTCGGTGGAGAGGCTGGACGCTGCTTTAAGCTCTTGACTGCTGCAAAAAGAACATTGCAGGTTTCGGTGGAAATCGGCTGCAGTGGCAAGCTGTGGTCATCCCCAGCTGGCTTGCAGAGTGTGGTGGGAATACTCGCTGCCCGGAGGGGAGAGGAGCGAGCCTTCAGAAAACCTGCCTGGAGCTGGTCTCCATCCATCGGAGCAGTGATGTCTGGGCTGGGGGCTTTTCCCCTCCCTAGGGCTTTAAGAAATGCCTCTAACTGTCCCTTGCAGCAGGCAATCGTTACGCTGTGCTCTACCCTGCCGTTAGTGTCATTTACAGCCCCTATAACTTCCCTGTGTGCGCAGCATGGCAGAGACTGGCCACAGCCGCTTCCCTGAGGTGTCCCTGCCACTTGCTTTCTGATGGAGACTGTTTGTGTGCAGGGTTTGTGGGCTTTCATACCTGGTGGCTCGTGGCATTTGGTGTCCTGCTCCTCACTCAGTATCCCAGAGCAGAAGGGACAGAGGGGTGACAAGTCTGCATAGGCCACCTCTCTCTGTGCCAATCCCATTCTCTGCTGATGGGAATGAGCAGTTGGGAAAGCACCAAGGGCTCCTGTGAGCCCTTCTTCAGCCTTCCTTCGGTGGCCCCAGTGCTCAGACCCTCCCATCACATCCCTCTTCCTTTCCCAGGGCCCTGAGGGAAGGGAGCTGCTAGGGTTTCTTCTCCAGCTGAGAGGAGGGAAGTGCACTCCAGGCACATTTAATGAAAATACCAAAGAACCGGGACGACTTCTATTAGAGCAGGGCTGGAGGATGACGCCCAAGCTGCTGCTTGTTTTCTCCACCAAAAGCCCAGCAGGACAGCATCGCATGTGCTCCCCCATCAACCTTGCCGGCTTATCGGGGGAACAGCGTGTTTCAAGCAGGCCAGACAATCTGCAGAACGCTCTCTTTCTGCCCACTTTCCTTTGGATAAGATAAGGTGTTTGGGGAAGATGACCTGCTGATCCTGCCTCCAGGACAGAGAGCACAGGAGGCTCTGCACCAGCACTCCTGAAGCAGTGGCTCTGCAAGACCACAGGGTGCCTCCGAAAAAGCCACCTCTCCCACGAACACACAGCCAGAGCTGACTAATGACACGCTGCGACAGGCTTTGCTTGGATGTATGGGTTGGGTTTGGGCTGACTACAGCTGGGCTAGAGAAGTTAAAGAAGGATGGTGGAGTCTGACCCAGAGCAGCAGACCTGCAGGGTGGCTGTCTGAGACGCTTACGGAAAAGCTTTGGGAGAAAACCAACTCCTTCATAGAGTCTAAAAGGATAAGACAGTACCTAAGCAGAGACTCTTTGCTCCACCACTGCGCAACTTCAAGATCTTCATTCATCAGGTTGGCCTGAAGTTGGCCCCCAGGTTGCACGTCATGGAGAGCGAGACCCCAACAAGCCTACACAGATAACGTGGTCACAATAATTTCCACAGGAAACAGCATGTCAGACACTGAGGCTGTGAGGCCATTTTCAGACAAGGAAATGCTCAGTTTGCAATGCAAACAGGAAAGGGTGGCACTTGGAAATGGAGCTTTCCGGTACCACAGGCACCCTGGCTCTGCAGGACATCCCAGTGACCTGCTGGAAGAGGGATGTGTCGGCCCTGCCAGCTGCAGGACGAGCCGCTGCTGAGGTGCAACTTCGTGCATTACCATCCATGAAGATGTCCTCCCAGCAGCAGGAGTTCACTTCTGGTTTCTTTACGAGGTGCTCAGCCCAGCTCCAGCTGAACTGTGAGAGTCGTGAACTGCCTCTAACTGCAGCATGAGTAAGAACTCATGCAAACCTGGAAGGACAGGCTTTAAAAGTTCTTTTGTTTCCCCTGCCTCAAAATTATCTTTGCTTTCCCCCCCTGTGGGGTTTCCAACAGAAGGCATTTGCTTTTCTTACCCACCTTGTTGTGTTTGCAGCGTTGCCCTTCTTGTAGTGCTGCTGTGCTTCTGGGTGTCATTTTTCACCCAGTGTTACCTTCCCTGCTTTTTAAACCAAAATCTGATTTCAGTGGAAAAGTCTACAGTCTCCAAAGCCCAGTCTTTTATCCACAAAAGAAAAAGCTGCCGTGGTTATCCCAGAGCCGCCTTAAGCACCACTGGCTTTTCGGCGCTTTCTAATTACCAGATGACATGCGGGGGATGGTTTTAGCCAAAGGAGCAGTTGTACTGAGTTGAACCACCCAGTAAATGAGAGAATTTCCAAAATAGCACCGCAGGCTGCAGAAAGCAGACAAGGGATGGGAGATCCCCCTCGGTGCCTGCAAACGGTGATCCCTGATGGCTTGGAGAGGTAAATTGCTGTGAAATTTCAGGGTGGGAAAGAAGGGTTCAGTTTGCAACAATCTCAGGAATTCCACAGGCGTGTCATGTCTGGGTGTTAAGACTGTTACACAGGGGATTCATTACCAAAAGATGGGGATTTTCTGGTCTTACTCTGCTTTTAAATGTTTGCTGTAAGAAACAACCCAACAGCCTTAGGCTTCCACCTTCGCTCGCCTGCCTGCTTCCAGCCCAGGCATGGCAGTAGCAGAGCTGGGAGCTGGATGAGCACCATGACTGATGTTTGACTTGCAGGCAGGATCATACCCCCATGCTTTTGAGGGCAACATCTTCAACATTGCCTTGAGCAGCTGCTCTTTGAGCTAGAGCCGCGCAGCTAGACATAGAGGTCCCCGTTGCACTGGGCTGGGTGTCCATAGTCAAGAGCATCACCCTAAGTGGTCGTACATCTCTGCTGATGGAGGCCAAGCGTGATGAAACAGGCAGTAACGTGGTCCCTTGGAGGGACTCAAGCTCCCAAACTGCCTGGAAAAAGCTTGGTAGTCTCTCTGAACTAAACGTGCTAGTCTTGCATCTTTTCAATAAGGTCTACAAAGACCCAATCTTCCTCGTCGTGAGGCCACAGCTGGGCTGAGGCCACTCTGTAATGGGTGATGCTCTGAGCTGTCCTGGTGCTTGCTGCACTGATGTACAGAGCAATGCCGAAGGCCCTTGCTGGTTCCCACTCCCCTGATGATACACTTAGATTCCCTGTGTGACCATCACAGGCAGCTTTCCACATTGCAGCTTC